GGGAAATTGTCTGTTGAGCTGCCAGATGAGCAATTCAGAAACAGAATGTTCCTTAGAAGGTTTTTCTCATCATCTCTTTTCTTCCTTTTTGGGCTTGCTGTAAACTGAGATAGCTCTTAATAGAGTTTTTATAAAAGATCTGGAATGCATAAAGTACTGTTTAGCAACAGAACTCACTAAATCCCAGGGTTGAGAGAGACATTAAAGAATTAGACTCTTGTTTCAAACTCTCAAGAGCTTTCAGAATGATATCAAAGCTGACTATAAACCCTGAACTTTACTATAAACTCTGAACTTTAGTAATTCTTTGCATACTTCTTGTCTTGTTAATACTTTAGCTAAGAAATCTCTTGTAGGTGTTAAGAAATATCTCATAGATATTTTTTAAGTTCTGCTAAGAGGTTCTTTCCAGTGTAAGTTAGTTCTGTTAAAGGCAGTCCTATAGAGTTTAGAAAGTCTTTCTACTAGTTCTTCTTAAATAAATCTCCCCTTAAGAAGTATACATAAATATATGTTGAATGAGAGTTTGTGAGAGGTGTAAATGTTGAATGTAAGTCTAAATGTTTAATGTAAGCTTGCAAGAAGTGTAAATATGTGTAGTGATAATAGTTCAATTAAGAGAGTTGTAAATATGTATGGTAAGGTTTATACTAGACTTGTGTTGATATTAATGAACCAGAGTTTGCTAATAAGCTAAAGAAATCTTTAAGTTGGATGTAGTTTTTTGGATGCAGCTTGCATCAAGAATTTAAGTTGAAAAGGGGCTTGGCACAGCTAAAATTGCTATGGACATCTTACGACCAATTCCAAAAAAGATAGGCCATCTTTGTCATCCTCTACTCCTGTACTGGGAGCTGTGGCAGCTATGGAGATCACTGTGAATGGTTGTATGCTCAGCAGGAACCTGGGCCAGAGCAAAGTTAAGCTCAGTGCTCCCTCTTATCAGAGACTGAGAGTCAATGATGGGCAACTTTCTCCTGATAGGTTCCAGAGTATGCTTGATGGAAAGCATATCTACATGATGGGTAATGGAAGAAGTAATCATGGAGAACGACCTAAGACAGACCTCAGTCTATCTGATGGGCCCTTAGGGGCTCTCTAATAAATTAAGAGGAGGGACCTATGGGAGCCCACAAAAGTTTCCTAGTGAGATCTGAGCTTTCTTTACACAGCATGGCTACATTAGGGGATGGTTTGATCACATGCATGGTCACCAGGTATCTGGGATGACCTACACTTAGCTGTGTTCGGGGGAGATCTTTTGCTCTACGCTGGCATTCCTTTAAAATCCCTTTAGTAGAGACAGAAGGGACTGGTGAGTTTTGACCCAGGCCCTCCCAAAGGTATCCTGTGCTAACTGTCTCTCTCTCCTCTATATCTCTATCTACATATTTCTCATTTCTCCCTCTCAAGAGTACCCTAGAGGAATAAGTGGGAGCTGGTCTCCTTCACATGTATAGACCTAAAGCACCTTTATACAGCCCTGGCCCTAGTTACAAGGCATCTCTGACTTTGGAGAGAGTTCTGTGGACCTAAGATTCTGCTATTGGTCTGACTGTTTTTGACAATGGGATGAGGTAACCCTAAATGAACTGTGCTTGCCTTGAACTAATTTATCCAGAGTATGTTCTTTTGACCATTTAGAGATAATTAATTATAAGACAGCTGAGGAATCTCTTAAGAAATTTCAAATTTGCTACTTTTATTTATCACAAAATTATTGCTTTTATTTTCACATTTCTTTATAGATACAATACTAACATCAAATTGTTAGCTCAATTAGAAATTTGATTCTTAAAATGTAATTAATGTTATTAATTAATATCTTATTAATGTATCAATTTATTTAATAATTAAAATTTTGTTTTAATTAATTTATTAATAATTAAATAAATCATTACACACACACACAGGGCATGCTGGCTACTCTCACCCACCCTCTTTCCATCCCTGCCTATTTCCCTCCTCCTCCTCACAAGTCAGGTTTATTCATCTGGTTTGTGACCTACAGAGTTTATCAGTGTCATCTGTGTAAGCAGCTGTTGGTGGGCTCAGCAGTGGAAACTGGACTAAAGACAGTGATTTCCCCTCTTCCCAAATCCACCAATAGCCAATGATTCTGAGGTAACATGTAGGGCTCACAAGGCTCCCCCTTTCTGACTGACTGTTGATGGCACTGTTGGGTAGACCCAGTGCAGGGACCACAGCTGCTGTAAGTTACTGATGCATTGGTTGTGTTCAGTTCTTCCTAAGGACCAAGTGGCTTCACTTAGTGAACAGAATTGGATGTGATGCCATGAATAATCCTCACAGGTGTTCAGCTTCGTTTCTTTATTATGCTTCCTCTGCATATAGTACACGTAGAACCTATCAGCTTGCTTCAATAATATGAAATGGGCTGCATTTTCTTACTTTAATGGGTTTTGCTTGGTTTAATAGTCTCTCAGATCAAATGAAAATGTTTCAAAATGTGGAAAGTCCTTAGTGTTCTGGTTAATAATGAAGAAGACAGCTATTTCACAAAACTTACTACCAAATATGGTCATTGACTTCTGTTGGGTGTGCTGTTGGGTATACATGCCCTACCAACTTAGGACAGAGTGACTCAATGAGTGTAGACAAGACCTTTGCTCCAAGCACACAATGGAAATCCAGGCAACTGAAGAACATCATGTTCATGAGCCCATTTTCTTTAAATACACATTTTCAAAATAAAAGCTACCAAGTATAATGAACTGTAACCACCTAGGGCAAAGAAAAAAGTAGTTTTTTTTAAGAGCTAGATTGATTTTGAACAATTTGCCCAAGTGGTTCCATTTTAGTAGTAATTAAGATACAAGTTCCTCAGAAAGGTCTGCCATTGACAGTGGTGCCACTTTATCCTACTTAACTAGTTGTTGGGTCTCAGTTTTCCCCATTAATCAAGTGGATAAACAGTGGCCGCTATCTTACCACATTGTGACGCATGGGAAATGAATAAGACTTTTGGCACATAGAACCTAGTGTGAATAATGCACACTTGTTCTAATGGATCTCCTGGCCAGCCACCTTCTCTTCCCCCTTCAAACTCCCTAACTCTGCTTGGAAAGAATGCTTCTTAAATTCAATAAAATTAAGTACAATGAAGTTTTATGGCATGTCATTGTCTTCAACTCTACCCCAAAATATTATGCTGCCATCCTTTGGTTATTTTAAATTTGAGCCCCCAGTCAAACATGAGAAACCCTTAGCCCCAGGCACTGATGCTTGTTGAATTGATTCCAACCAGTACCTCTGTGTAGTAAATTGCAATAGGAGACAATTCATTTGGTGGCTCGTGGTTCTCTGTAGCATCTCACAAGAAGACAGGTGATAAGTTCAGAGTTCTACCACAGAGCCCAAGAGAAGGGAAAAGTGATATGGAGACAGCTTCAACAGCCTGTGTTTACGTCTAACCTTGAACCACTTAGTTGCTTTGGATTTCAACTTTAGCATAAAATAACAGTAAAATCATGTCCAACTCGTCTAGCAGTATCTGTTCCTTTGACTTTGTCCCTTGATCAGCTTGTTTTTTTGTTTTGTCTTTGATCTCCTCATGGGAGAGGAGACTACATCACATAGTTTAATCTGGGACAATTTTGAGAATTAAAGAATGTACCCAAAGTAGAAATTTGACAAGTTTATGTATTTTAAAGTAGGGTCTCACTATGAAGGCCAGGATGCCTTGAACTCACAGAGATCGACCAGCTACTGCCTCCCGAATGCTCGGTAAATGTGTGTGTTACCATGCTCGGCTGAATTTTTATGGACCACAATTAATTAATTTTGTAATATTGACAATTAAATAGCCAAATCAAAATTACTTTCAAAATAAAATCTTTTGAAGAAATAAAATAATAGATATGTATACTTTAAAGAAAAAATTTAAACAAATTCTATATAGATTATCTGAATGCTTTTCTTGGCACGTGTTTATATAGTTTGGTTTCTTAACATCATCTGCTCATGTTCCCATCTTTAGGTATGTCTACTTTTCTGTTCTAACACTTGAATTTTTGAAAGATTCTTTCAATACATATTTATGTTCGATTTCTGTGGCCATATAAACATTTTGGCCAAAAGCAACTTAGAGGAAGAAAGGATTGATTTCATCTTACAACTCCCAGGGCACAATCCATCATTGAGAACAGTTACGTTGGGGACCTGGAGACAGGAACCATGGAGGAATACTGATTGCTGACTTTCTCTCTGGCTTGTACAAGTTCATGATCACCCAGCTGTTGTATACAGCCCAGGAAAGGTGCTTCTCTTAGTCAGCTGAGCCTTCTTACATGCATTTTTAATCAAGACAATCCCTACAGATGTGCCCACAGATCAACCTGGTAATGACAACTGTACATTTGAGACTCCTTTTCTGGATGATGCTATGCTGTGTCAAGTTGATAGTTAATTCTTGAGGATCACACACACACACACACACACACACACACACACACACACACACACATTCAACAAAAGTTGAAACTTTCATCTTATTAATGATGGGATTCATTGATACTGTAACTGACTGTTTTTAATAACTATGATTTACTGAGACCTTAATTGACATTTAAAAAGTATTCTGCCCATAGCTGCTGTGGTACCCAGTGAGCACACAGTGAACTACATTAAAGGGGGGTGGGCTATCCTCATTTCTAATTTTTAATACCAACATATAAATATTTCTTCCTAAACATTTTTATACACTGTCACTTTTACTTTAGTTAGATCACCCATCTCAGCAAATATTCTAAGAAAATAAAACCCAGTAAATAAATTCTCTATGATTTTAATTATTTATTTGTTCATTTTATTACAATTATTAATGTAAAACTTTCAAAGTAATGAGATTCACTGGTATTTCCTTACATGCATGTATTGTGATTTTTAAGCTTTATCAAATTTAGACAGGTTAGGCCTGAAGTTTTCTGCATTTCCTCCCATTGTGGCTTAGGTAAGAAATTTATTGTGTTAAAACTCACTTTATCCAAAAGGGTAAGGTCTCCCGTGGGTGTCAGCAAAGCCTGGTACATTCAGTTGAGGCAGGACCAAGCCCCTCCCCCTGCATCAAGGGTGAGCAAGGCATCCGAGGGGCTGGGGTAGGGTTCCTGTGTGGGGGTAGAGGCTGGGGGGAGCAGAAGGAGAGATGAAAGGGATCTGTGGTCGGTATGTAAAATGATTAAAATTTTTTTAAATTAAAAAAAAGTCACTTTACAATAACAAGGGTGCTGCACCTGTTAGCTCATGGCAGCTATGGTTACCTGCAAAAGACTTGAGAAAGATCAAGCCAGTCAATATATTAGCATAGATGTGGGAGGGGCTTGTGAGGCTTCATTCTTATTGGCAGTTGTTGGCTGTGGGAAGGAGGAACCGTTTTCTTCTGGGATGTGGTCTGTGGTAGGTTGCCAAGCTCTCCAATGACAATTCAGTGAATTCTTAAGGATGATATGACGTTAGAAAGGGTGTGCTTGAAGGGTCTTGACATGTGAGATAGGGGACAGTGAGACATGAATATGATCAAAATACATTGTATCCATGGATGAAATTCTCAAAGAATAAATAAAAAATTTAAAAAGTCACTCCACCAAATTCTTCCTATGAGTTGCGTGTTAAGAGTATGGTCAATCCTCTATTTCTCATTTGAAGAATTTGGCAAGTTCTTACAGTCTGTCTAACTCACTCAGTTCTCCCTAAATTTTTATTGGGGCAAATCTCAATAGCTACCTTTTATTTGTTCTTTAAAAATTGTGATTCTGTAAATGCTGTAAGTTGAAGTTTTTCAGGGTGCCAGTCACTGAGGAAATGAGTAAATATTTATGACTGGTTTTTAAAATTTAGGTACTTCTTTAGAAAGTATTCAATATCATCTTAAATATTTAGATTCATATTAAAAGACATTTTTTTTAAACCAAGAAAAATTTCCATGGTTAAAAGGCATGTTATTGTTGATTTAAAAAAAAAAGAATTGTATTTTATCATTTAGTTACTGATTTGTGAGTGTTGTTTACATGCGTGTGCATGTTGGGGAGAATAGTCATTCCATTTGAGCACTTGTGGAGGTCAGAGGTAATGTCAGGTGCCATGACAGGGTCTCTTGCTGAAACTTACCTTTAGGGCTAGTCTGGCTGGCCCAGTGAGCCCTCAGCATCCACTCTGCCCCTGGTGCTGTGGTTACAGATACATGCCATCACACCCAGCTTTCACAGGGATGCTGGGGATCTGAACTCATGTACCCATGCTTGCTCAGCAAACACTTTACCTATTGAACTGTCTCCTCAGACATAAAACAAAAGTTCATTTTAAAGCTCAGCTTATTTATATTACAAAATGTATGGAGGGTGGTGGCTTTTACTGTGTGTTGGGGAAGCATTTGGATGCCCTGATGCCCGTAGCTTCTGCTCCTGGAGATAGACCACTGCAGCTCATTTGTATGCAGTCAAGGTCCGTGTGCTCCACACCATCAATCCTCAGTACATTTCTGCTCCATAGATTTCCTAATTTAATATGAGTATCATTTCTTCTATTATGCTCTACCAAAATTGCATGTACATTATCGCTGCAGGAAAAAAAAGTACATGAAAATCTCTGCAATGTTGGATTTTTAAATTGAATTTACAATGCCATTCACAATAGCACTGGCTGTTTTGTTTTTGAATCATCGCCCAAAACTTTTCATTCTGATTCCATGACATGGATGAAAAGAAAATTCAGACATCGTTGGAACTAACACCGTTAATTTTCCATTTGAAGCCTCCACCGACGGTGACTAACATGACTTCACTTCGCAGTGTGCCAAGCTCGCAGTTCATGAAACCATCACATTAGCAACTATCACTTCACTACTTTTTTTTTTTAAACATGCAAAGAAAATCTGGTACCGAGAAACAAGTGACATTAACTCAGGAAGTGCTGTCGTTGTGTTGAAATGAAGCCATACTTCTCAGAGTGATGGATTTCAGCCCCGAAAATGCATTTACTTGGTCATCATTTTTGGAGCAGTCGTCTTGAGTAAATACTATAAAGTAGATGCTGACATATTCTTGATAGATTTGAGTCTTGACGTCGTTATGTGAAGCTGTTCTTAAGGCAGCTGGTGAGGATTGAAAAACATCTTGTACGAGTTACATATTCATCATAAACCTTTTATTCTTTTTCTTTTAATCTCTCCTTCATTGTGAACTTTCATATAAAATGGAAATTAAGTTTAATTCATTAAATATGTATTCCTTTTTGAAAGCTCATTCCTGCTGAAAGGACTTAATGCAAAATGAAAAAGAAAATCCGCCAATAAAATAAATGAGGATCATATCTAAGCCACACTGGTTTATACCATAAAACATCAGGCAAAACCGCTGTAAAATTGCAACTAGGAGTGCCGTGTGTACTCCACGGGAGGACTCTGCCTCTTTTAAAATTTTAGTGTTTTCTCAAGCTACATTCCCCACATTGCCTGATGCCAACTGGCAGTCTAGTAGATTTCTGCACTGTGTGGGCTGTACCCTAACTGGTTGCCATGCCCAGCAGCTGGTAGAGGCAGTGACAACTTATACTACCTTCCCCAACCTGTTCCTTTTCCAGTTCATGTTGTCTGAGCCTGCCTTGTTGCAACAAAGAGTGCCCACGAGTGGCAGGTCTCAGCCATATTAAGCCTGGGTGGGAGAAGGAAGGAGAGATGCAGTGTCACGGGTTTTCTTTCATATTTAGCCACGTGATCAACTGAGCAACCTTTCACTGCCAGACAAGACCACTGTAGTAGCTACAATTTGAAAGGATTCTTCAAAATTCATCTCATCTCATTGCAATGCATCCTGAGCAACGTGGACAGATGCTCAACACTGGGCTTTGAAACAAGAGTGAACCAGAGCTGAGGTAGCCAGACAGGATATGTGGCTAGGCTAATATTATAGAACATCATCCCTCCCAAAGAAAAAAGACACCAACTGCATCAGATCAACTGTTAACCTTTTTTCCATGCCACCATCACAGTGAGGCCTATTGACTGTTGACATTCACTCAGAGAAGGAGGTACTAGAGAGTGTGAGTGTATCATTGGACCTTCACATAAGATTATGGCTACCCTCTCTTGCATCTTTTAGCAATTTGAATGCAATTTTGCCCTAATTCTATATGGCCTGGGGTCTTGGGAGATGCTAGGGTGTGTAGACTGGGGAAAATGAACAGAATTGTGAACTCATCTATCTATATGACTATAGGGAAACCATCGTTCATGCTCAGTAAAGGTTTTCCAGGACAACAGCCTTTGAGGTTACCCATGCTCCTGTAAGCAATCTCAGTGAGCCCCATGACTCATTTGTTCCCCAGAATAAACTTCGGTGGCATTGCATTTTGGTTTGTGGTTGAGACCATATAGAAAAAGGGTATAGACATTTATCTCTCTTCAGGGAAGGAATACTCCCCAAAGACAGAGACATTGTGTTTGTGAAGTTCTCACTTACTGACTCCTACCAGCCCCACTGTGCTGTGCCAAAAACAGACAGACACTTAGTGTCAGAATTTATTGAACAACAATAAATTCACAAGGCCCAGCAGTTTCAGGGCATCAATTTCCAGATAATCCTGGCAACCCTGGTATTATGGTTGAGGTAGATGCTGGTTGTTTTATTCCAAATTTAATGGTTAATATTATTTCTCATATTATACATCACACAGTAGACAGGTGTTTGCACACGTGTTTGCAGTTTACAGGATAAATACAAGTTAAAGAGATTACAGAGGAGTTCAAGAGGTTTCAGAAGTGGGCTGATAGAAATTGAAGTAGATTGTGTATTGGTAAGATAATGAACCCCAAACCAGCAGGAAAGAAGCTGCTGCTAAGTCTATGGGAGATTCAGAGTTGAGAGTGAAGCCGCAGAGTTCAGTCCAGCTTCGGCTGAAAGGCAAGAACCATATCAGAGCAGGAATGACAGAGCCATGCCCACACAAGTGAGCAGGCAGATGGCAAGAGGGCAGTTGAATGGGTGGTGGAAGCAGCAATAAATGGAGCTGAGCTGAGGCCCCAGGACAGTTGGGAGTCATCTGCTTGTCAATCCTTAGTGTACACACCAGGTATCACATGACATGTATGTGGTAGGCCATGCCATTATAATATCAGGTGTCCATTGTTTGGTTGAATCCAGGTGAAGAAGTTACACCCTTTTCACAGTATGGTGTGCCTAGTATGTCTTGGGTCTGGTTTCTCTGAGGTAGTTTTAACACATACATGTGCTTCTACAGTCTCAATTCACCCTGATTAATTGATAGCATGCCAGTCTTTCTACTACAAGCAAGCAGTTTACCAGCCTGTACTATATGGGTGGTATCAGACAGATGGTGGTGTTTGTGGGTCCATCCAGGGCTCAACCATTCTCGACCCTCAAGAGGGAGCCAAAAGGTGCTTGCAAAATGGAATTTCTTGGAGCAAAGAACAGCCTGAATGCGCACTGTTGCGCACAATATGAATTCATTATTTTCTTTCCATTGCTGTGAAAGAAAACTGTCATCAAGGCAATTAATAGAAGGAAGGGATTTTTTGGGCTTATGGCTCAAGAAGGATAAGAGTCTATCACCGTTATGGAAGAGAAGCATTGCAGCAGTCTGGCATGGTGGCTGGCACAGCAGGTTGAGAGTTCACATCTTACCTGTAAGCAGGAAGCAGGAAGAGCAAACTGGGAATGGTGTATGGCTTTGAAACCTCAAAGACCGCCCACAGTGACATACTTCCTCCAGCAAGTCCACATGTCTAGAACCTACCCAAAGAGAGTCACCCACCTGAGGACCAAGTACTCAAACATTAAGTCTACTGGGGACATGCTTATTCCAACTTTGTGCTCTAAGTTTGAATAAGCATAGCCTGATCTCAACACCCACGTCTCACTTCTAAAGGTCTTCTTGTCTTAAGGGAAGTGATGTGGCTCTTTCTCTCCTTTCTATGAGCAATAAAGCTGGTTTCTTCTCTGATTAATGGTTTAAATTTCACCTCACAGGTTTAATGTTGGTTTTAACTAAGTATTTACAGATTT